GGAACCTGGATGTGTAATTAAGAAGAAGATTCCAAACAATTGTGAATATATATCAAGAAAATTCTAGAATCCATTTTTTCCTTGACATAGAATATGACAAATCTGAATAGGAATTTTAAATATCCAGATCGCCAGGAGAAATGCGCCTGCTAATTTTTTTAAACAAGTACCTAAATGCAGGCAGGAAAATTTTAAAGTTTTTCAAAATTCCAAATGTAGCAAAAACTTGGTGGAATAAAAACATCAAGGAATAGAAAAAATGTAAAAAGTGAAAGTGGTCCTTTTTTTTTTTAACTCCCATACCCACGTCACAGAGGTAAACCATTGTTGGCAAAGAATTTAAGCATCTTAGTTAAATAAATTCAGAGTAAAATAAGGATATAACTATTTCTGGTGTTGTTAGCTGCCATCAAATTGGTCCCTAACTCCTGGTGACCCCATGCACAATGGGATCGGACTGTTGTGATCCATAAGGGTTTTCACTGGCTTATTTTTTTGGAAGTAGATTACCAGAGCTTTTTTCCTAGTCTGTCTTAGTCTGGAAGCTCCCCTGAAACCTGCTGAACATCATGGTAGGAATTAAACCCGGGTCTGCACAGAAGGTGAGAATTCTGCCACGGAACCACCACTGCCCTGTCTATTTCTAGGTCAGTTTAAATACTCAAAATGTGCATTGTTTTCTGTTTACCACTCTCAGCTTCAGAATGTTTGCTAATTTTGAGATCATAGTCAGGAGTTAGTCTTTTCCTCGTTATAGGACAAAATGTAGAACAGAAACGGCTGAGTTATTACAACTGCCTTGTTAAGTTGGAAACTTCAAGTCAGACCGCTCATCCTTTATCTGATAGTTTATCCCACAGATGAGGAGTGGATGGAAGACTTCACTTTATTTTTAAAATTGTCTATTCACACAGCTGTTGCTTCAAATTTTCTTGCTTCTTAAAGGAAAGAAGAAAATTGTCCTAAGATTTGGTAATAGCGACTTCTTAACATCTACTCTTTGGTCCTGAGATAAAGGCATTTGTGTAGTAAGGAGAAGGGAATCTTGAAGTTTGGTTGGTGTGGCTCTGGAGTCTCTCTGGCACTAGTAGATTCCCTGGAGTGCTGTGGAGTGTTGTGAAAATGGTTACTGTTTGTCTTAGTTAAGGTTCTCTAGAGAAACAGAGCCAGTGATACAGATACACATAAACGTACATATATATAGAGAGAGAGAGGTTTACTTCAAGGAATTGGCTCATGTGATTTTGGGAGCTGGCAAGTCCAAAATCCATAGGTCAAGTACAGGCCAGAGACTCTTGCAGGCTCACAGGATTGTGGGGGCTCGCAAGTCCAAAATCTGTAGGTCTAGCAGCAGGCTAGAGACTTCTGCAGATTTGCATCCTAAGATCCCTGGATCAGGTGATGGCAAGAGTACACAATGAAGAGAGAAGAGAGTTCTGCCAAATTATCTATTTACAGTCTGGAGGCAGAACATACCCTAAGGCAACTCCCTTTTCAACTGATTGATTACATGAGATTACATTATAGAAAGTGATTACATTATGTAATGTTACGTGAAGTTACATTACGTTATGGAACAGCAGCTAGACTAGTGTTTGGCCAAACCATAGCCTAGCCAAGCTGACACATAAAATTAACCATCACAGTATTCAAAATACTTTAACATCTCTAATTTTTATACTAATCCCCAATTCTGGACGTTTATTTTAATATATTTTTCCTTAATTCTACTCAGTGTGACCAGGACTTACGAACTTAAAGACAATTTAATAGACTTCTCACAAATCTTAGAATGGTAATAAGAGGAATTTCAATCCAGATTGACTTTGGTCTGTGTGATATTAAACAGTCATGAGGTTTTTCGTCTGATTATGAGGTAGAGATGAGGTAGTTCATTCAGTTTTATTTAGTTATTTTGTTGATACTTTTCCCTGACTTGCCAATTAGATTTCAAAGTATGGTTTACTACTTCACGACATCATTCTCCTGTCCCCAAGTCATTTTCCTATGTTGATTTGCTACATTAATGTGTCCAGCCAAAAAGCCTCCTTGTAGTACTGTATTACTGGCCAAATAGCCTGAAAAAGGGAGACTGTCCATCTGGTGAGTCACTGAAAAAGAGACATTTTCCAGGTGACAAATCCATGTAGGATTTCTTGTGCCTGGTTTTTTAGAAAGTACTTGGTCACGTTTCAGAGAAATTAGAGTTGGAATGGACTTCTGAAGCCGTGTATTCCAACTTCCCACGTAAGACAAAGTCCCTTCTGTGTTCCTGACCCTCACCCAGCTTTTGTCGGCACCAGGCTCAGCAAATATATTCTCTGTATTCTAACAGTTCTGATTAAGGCAAAAAAAATTATGATGTACAAGAAAGGGAGTGGAAAAGAAATTGGCAACTTGGACTACCTGCCATTTTTTCAGCGCTGGACACATTGCACATTTTATCTTCATAAGAATCTATGAAGTCTCATTTTACATACGAAGAAACTAAGGCACAAAGTGGTTAAGTAACTTGCCCAAGGTCACATAGTTACCAAGGGTTGGAGCTGAGATTCAATCCAAGATGCCTTCCATTCTGGAGCCACCCCTCTTCACTTTCTCTGCTACCCACTTCTAACAAGAAACATAGAAATGGCTATGATCCTGACTACCTTTCTTCCATGCGTTAATTTTACTTTGGCTCCCTCATTAGCTGTACTGTACTTGTGAAAACTACAAAGGAGTCCTGGGGTGAATTCAGTTACTTTCTTGTAGGAGCTTTAACAACTTGTTTGGAGCTTTGAGTGGTTGATGGAAGGTTTTCCTGAGAAGTCAACTCAGAAGAGTCCTGTTCTAGCTAGTCTGCCTCTCTGAACTTGTTTTCTCGTTTCTAAAATGGAGATAATTATACTTCCTTCTCAGAGATGTTGTGAAGATTGAATGAGAAAACCTATAAAGACATTATAGAGTGTAGAGCACCTAGTAGATAGACAAGGGAAAAATATATTATTATTATCTTTTACTATTACTATTACTATTGTTACTGTTATCGTAAGCTGATAATGACAAGGAGAGTTTTCTTAGGGTTTGTTTTTAGAGAGCAAGACTAAATTTCACCAATTGTTCTTCAGATATTTTACTGTTTTCTTGAGCCTTTACAATAATCAGATCCTACAAATTCATAGGTTTTCTATTAAAGTGTAAAAAGCAACTTTGAAGATACACAGCACAGTATGTTACCTGGAAGCATTATAGTTCTCCATTCAACTTGCTTGTCATATTTTGGAGGAAGCTGAAGTTTCTGGCTGGAATTAGCTCTACCAGATGGTTTGTGTCTTTTTGTTCTTCTTTACTTAGTTTTAATATTTTAAGAGATAATACATATTGTCATATAAAATGATTTCTAAAACAATGTTTTAATTCTAAGTCCCAATTTAATTTGGTCAGATATGGGAATATAAGATAAATTATGATTCACTTTTAAATTTCCCTCTCAGTTCTTCTATTGCTATGCTTGACAAAAGGAAGGGAACACAGTGGGGAAAGAGAACAGACTTTAGGTCTCATCAGGGTAGAGATCCCAAAACTTTCTATATCCCCAAACCATGAAGAAAAAAAGCCAAAGCTGTTAAGTCTTCTAAGAACAACTTTGGGTATTCAGATATTAAAGGGAATTTTTAAATGAAAATGCAGTAGTGTTTAAATAGAACGCAGATATACCAGTCTAAGTAAACAATTGTGAAAATTCTCAAATTTCTTTGTAAGTTAGATTCTCTGATTTATTACTGGAAATTTAACTCTTAAGTACAAGAGCTTTGATAAAACGTAGTCTGTGTATGTGTAGAGAAGGAGCCCTGGTGGCGCAGTGATTAAGTGCTCAGCTGGGAGCCTAAAGGTTGGCAGTTCTACTCTGTCATATGGGGTCGCTATGAGAATGGAACATACTTATACCAAAAAATTTTTTCCCATGTATATATCATGCATTTTTTCCATTTTTTTGTTGTTGTTTTAATAAAAACAGGATCATGTTATATACATAATATTCTTAATTTGTGTCTCTTAAATTCCCTTTAAATATCTTGGCAAATTCTTTAGGGTATTTAGAAACTACAAAAATATTCTTTCAATTGTTTGATTTTTCTGGCACCAGCATCAGAAAAGAACAACTGGAAAACATAGAGGAAATTAAAGCATCAATAATTAAAAATTTTTCTCTACACATAACCTATAACCATTACCATCGAGTTGATTCCGACTCATAGTGAACCTACAGGACAAAGTAGAACTGCCTCATAGAGTTTCCAAGGAGTGCCTGGTGGATTCGAACTGCCAACCTTTTGGTTAGCAGCGGTAGCTCTTAAACCACTACGCCACCAGGGTTTCCAGTAATGACATTAGCAGGATTAAATTCTTTCTCACACACACACATGCACACAATCCCCATTAGGGCCAGAGATGGAAGAGGATCTTTTGACTGGATGCTAATTCTGGCTGCCACTGATAAATAATACATTAATGACTAAAACAAATATATAGATATTTAAATATTCTAAACCACATTCATATTGTTCGAGACCACCATATATGAACCATCTTACCCCTGAGAACTACCAGTAGATTCTGGATTCTTGAGGGAAATTAAGCACGAGTGGTTTATGTGTGGCAAGGCTAACAGGAGAGTTTCTGTTTCCTGGTATCGGTCAGCATCTAGCCTTGGAAACATATTCAGGTGAAACTTGCTCTCAGTTTCCAGCTATGGCTTTATTCTTCTCTGTTTCCTCCAGCAGAGAAAAATGATTAATGGGTAATCAGGAGATTAGGAATTAAATCTCCCTCTCAGTCCCTAATCCTGCTTTGTACCTCTGACGTATTTTTGCTAGCAACCTGAGAATTCAAGAGGTTGCACGAATACATGTCAGGGTTGAAACAAGAGCTGGGCATGAAGTTCCTTGGATGTGGTCCTTTCTTTTAAGAGAATTGAGTCATGTTCTGACTATTCCCTTTTCTCTCTTCTCTCACAGTACCCTGGAAGGGTATTACGTGGACGATGCCCTGCAGGGCCAGGGAGTTTATACTTATGAAGACGGGGGAGTTCTCCAAGGCACCTATGTAGATGGAGAGCTGAATGGTCCAGCCCAGGAATACGACACGGATGGGAGACTGATCTTCAAGGGGCAATATAAAGATAACATTCGGCATGGAGTTTGCTGGATATATTACCCAGTAAGCCTTATGACTGTTCATTTTGCTGGAAAGTAACAGGTGTTCAGACATTTAAGACATTGCTTTGACTCTTCACAACAAAGAGCAAAATGTATTCTCTATGTTGGAAGTTGAGCTGGGACACTTGAAAGTCACAGTAGCTGCAGCCAGTGGTTTATGAGGCGTGTCCTAGTGCTTTTATTAACTATTGACTGAGACTGTGGGTCCTTGTATCTACTCTTAATTATTTTTCAGTGTTGTTTTAGAAACAAATGATTCATCATGATCAAAACACAGTTGGGCCTTGGAGAATTTTTCAGGGTGATGGAACTGTTCTGGATTTTGATTGTGGTGGTGGTTATAGAAAATTTTTTTTAAAAAGGATAAAAATCAGGTATTAAAAAAAAAAACCAAATGAGAACAAATTCATTTTATTGTACCACTAATAAAGGAAAGGAAACCCTTGTGGTATAGTGGTTAAAAGCTACGTTTGCTAACCAAAAGCTCAGCAGTTCAAATCTACTGGGTAGTCCTTGGAAACTCTATGGGGCAGTTCTGCTCTGTCCTATAGGGTCACCATGAGTCAGAATTGACTTGACGGTAATGGGAATAAAGGAAAAAATTCTGCGTTTAGTTCCTTTGGCATCTAGAAAAGGATGGTGGAATTGTTCATTTTTGCTATTTTATTCTGTTTCTCATATGTAAGAACTAATCTAGCAATTTCCAATTTTTTTTTTTGGAGTTAATTACACTATTGTTACTTGATTTTACAATTCTACTCCCTACTTTTTAAGGTGCTTTAGGGTTTATATTGCTTAAATGAAGGTGATTAAAATTAACTTGCCTTTGAGTATTTGATAACGTTTCACAATATAGCTGAAGTTTATTAAAGCAAAAACATGAGGCAAAACCAATGGTTGGGAATTAATGCTCTAATTTTTCTTTTCATTTCAAATATCCCATCTGTTGTTAGTGAGTTTCCAGAAAGCCTTTCAGAAAATAGATCTTAGAAAATATTTTATTTAAAACTTCATTTTGTCCAGAGCTTAAGTCAAAATACATTTTTTCTTTCTCTGAATGCTATCTTCTTATGGTTGATAAGTATTTATAAAAACAAATTATCTATTATATGTATAAGAAGAGTGTTGTTGCTATTGTCTATGGAGTTAAGACTTCCCAGCTCAATAAATAAGTTATACTCTAGAAATGTTGTTGTTGGGTGTTGTGAAGTCAATTTTCGACTTATAGCGACCCCACGTGACAGAGTAGTCCCATAGGGTTTCTAGGCTCTAATTTTAATGGAAGGAGCCCTGGTGGCTCAATGTTTAAGTGCTCGGCTGCTAACCAAAAGGTTGGCGATTTGAACCTACCAGCCGCTCCTTGGGAGAAAGATGGGACAGTCTGCTTCCGTAAAGATTTACAGCCTTGGAAATGCTATTGGGGCAGGTCTACCCTGTCCTATAGGGTCACTATGAGTTAGCATTGACTCGACAGCCATGGTTTTTTTTTTTTTAATTTTAATGGGAGCAGATTGCCGGTCTTTCTCCTGAGGAGCCATTGGCTGAGTTCGAACCAACTTTTCAGATAGCAGCTGAGCTCTTAACTCTTGTGCCACCAGGGCTCTTACTCTAGGAATTGGGCATAAGAAAAGAACTTTGTAAAATATTATTTTAAAGAATTACTAAAGCATTTATATAACCTTTTGGTAGGATCTGTGGCAGATCAAAAGTCATTTAGTTACTGAAGAAGGCAAGGAGGACAGGAAGTGGGTGGAGGTACTCACCAGTCTAGGAAGACAAACTTTTGTTGCTTCATGATTGGCCAGATTGAGCATCTTTCTGCCCAGTGGCTGGGGGCTGCTGATACGAATCTGAAGTCAGAGAAAGTGGGGGTCTGTGTGTGGTGGTTGGGATTAAAAGAGGCAAAATATGGATGACCAGATTGTCCCACTTACCTGTCATTTTACCTGTGACTATGATCCATTCAAGTCCCTAGATGAGATCAAAGATGCACTACGGTTGGTGAATGGCTCCACCTCACTCAATGTAGTTGTCTTTTGAAACCTGAAAATGCAGCTAGCTTAGCCTTTAGTCTTAATTATTCAATACAAAGAGAAGACTGTCTTAGGAAGGAAGCATTGAAGAGTTATAAGCTTTTAAAATTTACTTGCTTGATACACTTGCTTTATATATGGTATCTGTCAGCAATTGAGAGGACTGATCACACTCCTCTGCTCTCTGGATTTTGAATCAAGAAATTGACATAGGTGTCAGGAATCAAGATGTCTCTTTGATTATGGCAACGTTAGATTGGAGATATTGTGTAGACCTGTCATGGATTGAATTGTGTCCCCAGAAAACGTGTCAACTTGGCTAGTACTGTGTGGTTGTCCTCCATTTTGTGATCTCATTATCCTCCATTTTGTGATGTGTTGTAAATCCTAGAACCCTGGTGGCATGGTGGTTAAGAGCTATGGCTGTAACCAAAAGGTCAGCAGTTCGACTCCACCAGGCGCTCATTGGAAACTCTATGGGGCAGTTCTACTGTGTCCTGTAGGGTCACTATTAGTCAGAATCGACTCAACAGCAACAGGTTTGGTTTGGTTTATGCCTGTGGTTATGATCCCATTTGGGAGTGAGCTGAGCCCTAGTAGCTTAGTGATTAAGAGTTTGGCTGCCAACCAAAAAGGTTGGCAGTTCGAATCCATTAGCTGCTTCTTGGGAACCCTATGGGGCAGTTCAACTCTGTCCTGTAGGGTCGCTATGAGTCGGAATCGACTCAACAGCAACAGGTTTAGTTTTTTTTTGGTTGTCCTTTATATTAATGGGCAGGATTAGGTCACATTAATGAGGATTAGGTTATGTTTGTTATGTTAATGAGGTGGGATGTATCTTGAGTCACCACCCTTCCCTGCCCTGCAAGAGATAAAAGCGGAGAGAAGCAAGCAGTAAGAGGGACCTCCTACCATCAAGAAAGAAGAACTGGGAGTGGAGCACATCCTTTGGACCCAGGGTCCCTGTGCTGAGAAACTCCTAGAGCCAGGGAAAGATTGATGACAAGGAGCTTCCCCTTGAGCTGACAGAGAGAGAATGCCTTCCCTTGAAGCTGGTACCCTGAATTTGAACTTCTAGCCTCCTAAACTGTGAGAGAATAAACTTCTGTTTGTTAAAGCCATCCACTTGGGGTATTTCTGTTATAGCAGCACTAGATAACTAAGACAAGTCCCAAAGCCAGCAAAATGGGCTTCCTACTCCTTCCCCTCTGAACTGAATAGATGGACCAGCTGCAGACAGAGCAGCTAGAAAGCTGTAGGTTCCCTGGGTGAGCTTCCCAAGGGAGGGGGCAGGAATGATGAGGGGAACAAGTGCAGCCTGTGGGCACTGCCAGTTCCCAGGACCCAGGAGAGGATGAGGGAGAAATGAGGCCACAGAGGAACAGCAGCCTTCTCCTGTGAACCCCACTCAGCAGAGAAATGGATGTCCATGGATGTCAGACTCTGCCTTCTTACCAATCAATGAATGCCTCTCCCTCCCATGGGGAGGGGCCAGTGAGCCTAAGAGAGGAAGTTACAGCTTCTTCCCCAAGGCTTCCTTCTATAGCAGATGAGGAAGTTTTTGTGACATGGAACCAAAGCAGGCATAAGGGGGAGGAAAAGGTAATGATTTGCCCTTTATAAGTGCACTCTAAGGACAGTTTATTTCTTTCAAAAATTTCCTTTGGAGCAGTGATGTGAAGTTTTTAATTAAAAATTCATACCTCCCTTTGGAAATAAAAGAAGAATTTCTGCTTTAACATTCTAGACAATGAAATTCACTTTCTCCCAAACCAGAAGTTTAAAGCATTTAAAGGAAAAGGTGTGAGACTCGAGAAAGACAGACTCCGGTTATTGGTTATAAATAAATAGTAATGGTGACAGCTTATATTAGTTACGGCATGTAAGAAGCACAAATGCTCTAACGTGCTTCAGCTCAATAATCATTACTGAAAGCCTGAAGGTAGGTCTTGCAGAAAGCACCATCCCCATTTGTGCTAGGTTATAAAGAATTAACTCGGGAGGAGAAAGAACAATAAATGGATTCCTAATGCACTTTCTATCCGTAAGAAGTGCTTCCAATTATTTCTCTTTCTATGGAAGTGCTGTGATGTGTTTTTAATTTATAACCTTTTCCTCCAAAGAGCAATTACACTACTGTGAACTGTAGGAATCATGTCCCTGGTTGTTCTTTATTCCTGCTGGCTCTCAGCAGCATTTGGAATCACTCACAAGTTATCCCACATCACTGCCTTTGAGTAGGAACCTTTGAGTTGGGAGAATAACCAAGCTTTTAGAAGATATCACGGTATTACTGTTGTTATAGCAAACCCATGAAGGTCTTAGGTTTCTAAAGTTATACCATGAGGACTTCTGGATGGAAATAAAAAAGAAACACTCTCTTGTACCCTAGATTAGAATACTCACGACTTTTTGGTATTTCAGTTCAATTCAACAAGTATTTGTGGATCACTGACTGTGTCCCTGTTACTTAGCAAAACCAAAAAACCAAACCCACTGCCGACGAGTTGATCTGGACTTACAACGACCCTATGGGACAGGGTAGAACTGCCCCATAGGGTTTCCAAAGCTGTAATCTTTATGGAAGCAGACTGCCACATCTTTCTGCTGCGGAGTGGTGTGGGGGTTCGAACCGGTGGGTTGGAACCACTGACCTTCCAGTTAGCAGCCAAGCACTTAACCACTGTGCCACCAGCATGATACAGAATTATTTGATTGACTTAATGACTCTTAGCGAATGAAGTGAGTGAGAGTTAAACGTGAAGCAAATTTGGCTCCTTTCCTGGAAAGAGGTGGGAGGGAGCATTGAAAAGAAGAGTGGGAAGAAAGAAAGTAATGATGAAAAGAGTACAGTTTAGATGTTTATTTCTTAGAAAAGACAGACAACTATATCTTTACAAATACACACTAAAATTACTTCTTTAGTACATTTCGAACTAAAGACTTTCTTAATCAACCAGAAAGAAATTCAAAATTTAACACTGTGGAGTGGGATCACATAAATAGTGGGTAAGACTGTCTTGGAGCCCTGGTGGCGTGGTGGTTAAGAGCTTGGCTGCTAACCAAAAGGTCCACCATTTGAATCCACCAGACACTCCTTGGAAACCTTATGGGGCAGTTCTACTCTGTCCTATAGGGTCGCGATGAGTCAGAACCTACTCGAGGGCAACATGGGGTTTATTTATTTATTTTTTTGAAGACTGTCTTGCTGAGATCTACATCACAGTTGATATTGGCCAAACATAACATTTAGTTACCTTTCCTTTAAATGTAACACATTTGTTTCTTAGATAACAAACCAAGACAGAATATCAGTAACTTGTCCAGGATTACATAGCAAATGTTGACTGAGTCAGTAATAGAGGAAATCAGCCTCTTACTCTCTAAATCAGGCTTGCACACTTCCTATGCATATAACTTTCTAGACGTTTATTTGTGTAAGGGAGGATGAGAACATATGCATCATGTTTTTCTGACTCGTGGAAAGCTCTGGGTTCTTGAATTGTTATTATCCTTATTAGTGTTATTGAGAATGGGAGTATAAAAATTTTTTGAACTCGTGTTATATAGATAAATACTATATATAATATTTTCTGGTTTTTGGTTTCTCCTATCAGGATGGAGGTAGCCTTGTAGGAGAAGTAAATGAAGATGGGGAGATCACGGGAGAGAAGATAGCCTATGTGTACCCCGATGAAAGGACCGCACTTTATGGAAGATTCATTGATGGAGAGATGATAGAAGGAAAGCTGGCCACCCTTATATCCGCTGAAGAAGGGAGGCCTCACTTTGAATTGATGCCTGGAAGTAAGTCGATTCTGTTTCAGATGTGTTGCTATAATTTTGAAGCAGCTTATTAGAGCTGTTTGAGAGTTTTTTTTCTTCTTCACTTAGTCCACTTTGGAGCCCTGGTGCCGCAATGGTTAAAGCTTTTGTCTGCTAAGCAGAAGGTCGGCAGTTCAAATCCACCAGCCGCTCCTTGGAAACCCTGTGGGGCAGTTCTGCTGTGTCCCATAGGGTCACTATGAGTGGAATCAACTCGACGGCAGTGAGTTTTTGGTTTGGTGGTCTACTTTAAACAGAACAAAACAAAAAAAATCAGTTATTGTCAAGTCGATTCAGACTCATGGCAACCCCATGCGTGTCAGAGTAGAACTATGCTCCGTAAGGTTTTCAGTGGCTGATTTTTCAGAAGTAGACCGTCAAGCCTTTCTTTCGAGACATTCTGGATAGACCCGAACCTCCAACTTCTCAGTTAACAGCTGAGCACATTAACTGCTTGCATCACCCAGGGACCCCTTAGTCCACTTTAACTGATGTATTAATGAGGTTTTGCGTGTAACAGTGTAAAACGTGGCTTCGGGGCAGTGTCTGATCTCCTCTTAACTTCACAAGGGGGAGGGAGAATCAAGATCAACAGCCCAAGGCTGATTCCTGTGAGATGGAGATCAGACAAGCCTCCTTTCTCCACCATCTTTACCAACTCTGACACCAGCCATCCCTCCCATGGCACCCGACTTCTCTGCTGGGTTTGATAATTCATTGAAATGGCCACACGGAACTCACAGACTATACTCACAGTTATGGGGTTTATTAGGGAAGTAACAGGTTACAATTCAGGTTGAGGAATGCTCAGGATACAGTTCTTCCATAAGGACAGCCTCTCCCCAGCCGAGCCCACAGGCACACCTCTCCCTGGCCTTCAGTCTCTGCCCAAAGGCAGTCAGCTTTCTGCCTCCGTGGGCGAGGAAGCCCACTGCACCTCTCCTGTGGGTCTGTCCTGCAGGTCTCTTTTACCAGTCTCTCCTTCCTTGGTGGTGGCGGGCTCTTCTCTCTCCTGCCTCTTGGGTGGCTCATTTCGAGCCAGTGGGATGGCAAAACTGACCAATCCCTTTGGTGGGCCACAGGTACCCTATCACACAGTCCTGCCCAATCACTTGGGTGGGAGTTACAAGACCATGGCTAGAAAGGCCACACACACTGCAGACACCTCAACATCCCAGTGGTTTACAGCAACAACCATAGGTCAGCTTATCGGCTATATTTCAGCTGGGCTAGGCTGGGTTTGGCTCAGCCAGCTTGGACTGGAGGTTTTTGGTGAGGATTGAGTCTGCTCTTTATGTTTTAAATCTGGGTCCCAGCCTGCAGGGACAGTAGCTACCTGGAGCATGAGTTGCTCACAGGAGCACCAGAGCATGAGCAGAAACCTGTGATGCCTGTAAGGCCTCAGCTTGGAACTGTAACACTGTCCTCTTCACTCACTGTTAATTGGCCAAAACAAGTCACATTGCCAAGCTAAGCAACCACGGAGCAGGGAAATAGTCACCATGTACTTCACTGGGAGATACTGAAAAGTCATGTGATAAAGGCCATGGATATGTAATTCTAATACAGGGAAAGAGTGGAGAAATGAGAGCAGTAATTCAGTCTACTTTAAACTGCTACATCTAAAAAGCTGAAGTACAGTGTAATGATACCAAAGACCCAGATGAAGTAGATCTTTCACCTTGGCACAGATTGTAAAGGTGACCCGTCTGAACTCTGACTGGGGAGATAAATTTGTGTTGGCATCACCTGTGCTCTTCAGAGCCCAACATCTTGCATGGGGCACACATTTAATAAGAGAGTAAACTAT